CCTCAACATAATAAAGGCCATATATGACAAATCTATACCTAACATCAAACTCAATGGTGAAAAGCTGAAAACATTTCCTCTAAGATCAGGAACAAGACATGGATGCCCACTCTTGCCATTTTTATTCAACATAGTTATGGAAGTCCTAGCCATGGTGATCAGAGAAGAAGAAGAAATAAAAGGAATCCAAATTGGAAAAGAAGAAGTAAAACTGTCAACTGTTTGTAGATAACATGATACTATACACAGAAAATCCTAAAGATGTCACCAGAAAACTACTAGAGGTCATCAATGAATTTGTAAAATTGCAGGATACAAAACTAATACACAGAAATCTGTTGCATTTCTATATACTAACAACAAAAGATCAGAAAGATTAATCAAGGAAACGATCCCATTTACCATCACAACAAAAAGAACAAAATACCTAGGAATAAACCTACCTAAGGAGGCAAAAGACCTGTACTCAGAAAACGATAAGATATTGATGAAAGAAATTAAATATGACACAAACAGATGGAGAGATATACCATGTTCTTGGATTGGAAAAATCAATACTGTGAAAATGACTATACTACCCAAAACAATCTACAGATTTAATGCAATCCCTATCAAATTACCAATGGCATTTTTCACAGAATTAGGGAAAAAAAATTTTTTTTAAGTTTTTTTTTTGATGTGGACCATTTTTTTTTTTTTTTTAACAATCTCTTTTATTTTTATTTATTTATTATTATTATTTTTTGCGGTACGTGGACCTCTCACTGTTGTGGCCTCTCCCGTTGCGGAGCAGAGGCTCCGGACGCGCAGGCCCAGCGGCCATGGCTCACGGGCCCAGCCGCTCTGCGGCATGTGGGATCCTCCCGGACTGGGGAACGAACCCGTGTCCCCTGCATCGGCAGGCGGACTCTCAACCACTGCGCCACCAGGGAAGCCCCAGATGTGGACCATTTTTAAAGTCTTTATTGAATTTGTTACAATATTGCTTCTGTTTTATGTCTTTGGTTTTTTTGGCCATGAGGCATGTGGGATCCTAGCTCCCCAACTGGGGATCAAACCCACACCCCCTGCATTGGAAGGCGACGTCTTAACCACTGGACCGCGAGGGAAGTCCCTAGAACAAAAAATTTTACAATTTGTATGGAAACACAAAAGACCCCAAATACCCAAAGCAATCTTGAGAAAGAAAAACAGAGCTGGAGGAATCAGGCTCCCTGACTTCAGACTATACTACAAAGCTACAGTAATCAAAACAGTATGGTACTGACACAAAAACAGAAATACAGATCAATGGAACAGGATAGAAAGCCCAGTGATAAACCCACACACCTATGGTCACCTAATCTATGACAAGGGAGGCAAAAATATACAATGGAGAAAAGACAGTCTCTTCAATAAATGTGTGGGAACTGCTGGGAAAACTGGACAGCTACATGCAAAAGAATAAAATTAGAACGTTCCCTAACACCATACACAAAAATAAACTCAAAATGTATTAAAGGGGCTTCCCTGGTGGTGCAGTGGTTAAGAATCCGCCTGCCAATGCAGGGGACATGGGTTCAAGCCCTGGTCTGGGAAGATCCCACATGCCATGGAGCAACTAAGCCCATGCACCACAACTACTGAGGCTGCGCTCTAGAGCTCGCGAGCCACAACTACTGACGCCCACGTGCCTACAGCCTGTGCTCCGCCACAAGAGAAGCCACCACAATGAGAAGCCCGCGCACCACAACAAAGAGTAGCCCCTGCTCGCCGCAACTAGAGAAAGCCCGCGCGCAGCAACAAAGACCTGATGCAGCCAAAAATTAATTAATTAATTTTTAAAAATGTATTAAAGACCTGAATGTAAGGCCGGACACTATAAAATTCTTAGAGGAAAACATAGGCAGAACACTTTTTGACATAAATCACAGCAAGATCTTTTTCTATCCATCTCCTGGAGTAATGGAAATAAAAAAACATAAACAAATGCAACCTGATTAAACTTAAAAACTTTTGCACAGCAAAGGAAACCATAAATAAAACAAAAAGACAACCCTCAGAATGGGAGAAAATATTTGCAAATGAAGCAACTGACAAGGAATTAATCTCCAAAATATACAAACAGCTCATGCAGCTCAATATCAAAAAAACAAATAACCTAATCAAAAATGGGCAGAATATCTAAATAGACATTTCTCCAAAGACGACATAGAGATGGCCAAAAAGCACATGAAAAGACGCTCAACATCACTATCAAAGAAATGCAAATCAGAACTACAATGAGGTTATCACCTCACACTGGTGAGAATGGCCATCATCAAAAAATCTACAAACAATAAATGCTGGAGAGGGTGTGGAGAAAAGGGAACCCTTCTACACTGTTGGTGGGAATGTAAATTGGTACAGCCACTATTGAGAACAGTACGGAGGTTCCTTAAAAAACTAAAAATAGAGCTACCATATGATCCAGCAATCCCACTCCTGGGCATATATCCAGAGAGAACAATTGTTTGAAAGGATACATGCACCCCAATGCTCACTGCAGCACTATTTAAAATAGCCAAGACATGGAAGCAACCAAAATGTCCATCGACAAATGAATGGCTAAAGAAGATGTGGGGTGTGTGTGTGTGTGTGTGTGGGTGTGTGTGTGTGTATAAATAAACACACACACACACATATATAATGGAATATTACTCAGCCATATAAAATTATGCTATTTGCAGCAACATGGATGGACCTAGAGATGATCATACCAACTGAAATCAGACAGAGGAAGACAAATATGTTATCACTTATAGGTAGATATGAAAAACTGATACAAATGAACTAATTTACAAAACAGAAACAGACTCACAGACTTAGAAAACAAACTTAGGATTACCGAAGAGGAAAGGTGGGGGAGGAGGAATATATTAGGAGGTTGGGATTAACCTGTATACACTAATATATATAAAATAGATAATCAGCAAGGACCTACTGTATAGCACAGGGAGCTCTACTCAACACTCTGTAATAACCTACATGGGAAAAGAATCCGAAAAAGAATAGATATATGTACATGTATTACTGGATCAGGTTGCTGTACACCTAAAACAAACACAACGTGGTAAATCAACTATACTCCAACATAAAATAAAAATTTAAAAAAAAAAGAAAAGAAAAAAAGAAATGCCTACTCTATTCCCCTCAGGCCTCGGTGACCTTGGCTGGTGTCACATCCCTAAAGCCTGAGCAGGCTTGGGTCCCGAGGCTGGACTGTTATGGGGCTGAGGGAGCTGGGGAGGATGTGCCAGCAAATGAGCCCCCCCTCCACCCCCGCAGACATATAGTGCCTGGTCCCTCTGCACGAAACCACAATCTCCAGATCCAGGTGGGCCCTCCTACAGTTAAACCAAGTCTAGTGTACCCAAAGAATGTTGGACCCTCTGGGCTGAAACAGCTTTGAAAAGTCAGCTGGCCTCCAAGTCTCCTGGTGGGGGGATTCCCACCTCCAGCCTCCTTCCTTAGAGTTACCTCACCTACGTACACCACCCCACCTACATACAACACCACAGCGGTTTGGCAGGGGTTGGGATTTGTCTTGGGGGTGAAAGGTAAAGGGGAAGAAGTAATGGAACAGAAGCCTGAAAGGTTCGAAAGGATACATGCACCCCAATATTCACTGCAGTGCTGTTTACAATAGCCAAGACATAGAAGAAACCTAAATGTCCACCAACAGATGAATGGATAAAGAAGATGTGGTACAGGACTTTCCCTGATGGCACAGTGGTTAAAAATCCGCCTGCCAATGCAGGGGACACAGGTTCAATCCCTCGTCCAGGAAGATCCCACATGCTGTGGAGCAACTAGGCCCATGCGTCACAACTTCTGAGACTGCGCTCTAGAGCCCACGAGCCACAACTACTGAGCCCACGCACTGCAACTACTGAAGTCTGTGCACTCTAGGGCCTGTGTACCGCAACTACTGAGCCTGTGTGCCACAACTACTGAAGCCCGCATGCCTACAGCCCACACTCCACAACAAGAGAAGCCACCACAATGAGAGGCCCGTGCGCCGCAACAAAGAGTAGTTCCTGTACGCTGCAACTAGAGAAAGCCCACGCACAGCAACAAAGACCCAATACAGCCAAAAATAAATATTTTTTTTTAAAAATTTGCTACATATATACAATGGAATATTACTCAGCCATTAAAAAGAATGAAATAATGTCATGTGCAGCAACATGGATGAACCAGGAGATTACCACACTAAGTGAAGTAAGTCAGACAGAGACAAATATCATATGATATCACTTCTATGTGGAATCTTAAAAAAAAGATACAAATGAACTTATCTACAAAACAGAAAAAAACTCACAGACTTATAAAACAAACTTATGGTTACCAAAGGGGAAAGGTGGTGGGGGAAGGATAAACTGGGAGTTTGGGACTGACATATACACACTACTATATTTAAAACAGATAATCAACAAGGACATACTGTATAGCACAGGGAACTCTACTCAATATTGTGTAATAACCTAAATGGGAAGAGAATTTGAAAAAGAACAGATATCTGTATAACTGAATTACTTTACTGTACACCTGAAACTAACACAATATTGTAAATCAACTATACTCCAATATAAAATAAAACTTAAAGAAAAATTATTAGATAAACCAAGAAAAAAAATACCACTGTTGTATGCTCACTGATACAGAAACATATCCACAGTATGTTAAGTGAAAAAGGCAGGCTACATAGGCAGTATAGGTGGTACGTGGTCCTACTGTGGTTTTATATAGTATATATAAATAACATTAAAATATATATATATATATACAAAAAAATTGTGAAAAGGGTTTTTTCTTTTGCTTTTTGATTTTAGTATTTTCAAATTTTTCTATCATTAATTTTGCTGCTTTTACAGAGGAAAAAATACTGAATTAAAATAAGAAGACAGTTCTAGGTGGTTTCTTTACTTCCCTATCAAACCAATTCTGTCCACACCTGCATAAAAACACTATCCTCCTACCTGTCTGAGCAACTCCAGCTTCTTCAGTTCCTCATTGTAGGCTTCTGGATTCTCTCCATAATTCTTCTGGACAAACTAGGGAGAGAGAGAGAAGATTGTAAACCAGGGATAGAGCATACTGCCCTGCTCCTGCTCCTGCCCTCCGAGTCCTCGGCAATCACCAGTCAGGGCTCAGGATGGAGTCCAGACCCACAACCACGAGCTCATCTCCTGGGCCGCAAGCAACTCGACCTCAATAATGGGACAGCACCAAGATGCTGACTGCGGGAGCCTCCTCCATTGAACAAAATGGAAAAGAAGACTGGACAACCTGAATGGAACACCCTGGCTGGCCCTCATCATGCTGCAGCCCTCTCTCTATGAAGCCCAGGACTCTGCCAGCTCAGGAAGCTGGGGAACTCAGCTGTCTGAAATGGGATCCTACTGAGCATCCCAAAATGGGCCAGAAATTCAAGCCTCCCTCAAGTACTGGTCCCTGGTGTGTCCTGGGGTCACAGTCATAATCCTGACCCAACAGCAAATGTAGTAGGAAGAAGAACCAAAGAAGAGTGGGAGCGCAAAGCCTTCTTCACCAGCCCGCCTTCCTGCGGAAAGGGCACCACAGAAGTAAGTGATCTCATTGGTGAGGAAAGGCCTGTGGATGTGTGATGGGAATGACCCAGACAGGGGGAGGGGAGAGGAGGGGGCCCATATCAGAGAAGGGACTGGCATGCCTGCCCACAACAGCACTCACCACCGCCTGGACAGTGAGCACACTCACCAGCCTGGAGGCACGGCCTGGACCAAAGGGCCCCTCGTTCACCTAAGATCAACAGACTAAGGCAGCTGGAACTACTCCTGTTGCAGGAGGTCCTGTGGGACAGAGGCCGAAGGGATTGGAGGGATATCTGAGAGTCCTAGAAACAAGGCTTCACCTGACATCGCTGAGAACATCTGTCCCTGTAGTCACACAATGGTAAAGGGGAGAGAGATGCTGCCTCCACTGCCAGCAAACTGTCCCTAGAGGAAACCTTCTACCTGTCTCATTCCTCCTCCAAGATCAGCAGCAAACACTTACTGAGCTCCTACCCACAGGCCAAACACTGTGCCAAGTGCCTAATAAGTCACTCAATCCTAACAACAACCCAAAGAAGCAGACATCATCATCGTCACCATTTTACAGATGAGGAAATGAGGAAACTGAGGCACAGAAGTTAAGGCATTTGCCGAGGTCACACAGCACCAATAACTGATGGGGCAGTGACTGAAATCCAGGCATTTGGGCTCCAGAGCACATATTCTTAACCACACATTAGACCAATCCATTTCTATTTTTTAAACATGGTTCTCATAAAACAAAAAATGGGAAGCAAAAATGAATCGCCAGCCACACAATGAGTCAGTGGAGCAGACAGGCTATTGTTTAAATTCTGATAAAATCCTCCATGGCTTGATCACTCCCCCTACTGAACAGAGGAAAGAGGCGGCTGAAGGTTCTAGAGCAAAGGACAGAGACCATCTCTCAGTCATTCCCTCTATAGCTCACACCTCTGCACAGCTCAGAACAAGGTCTGGTCAGGATTTGAAGGTCACAGCAGAGTCTGAGAAGGAAGGCCCAGCAGCAGGTAGAGCCTGGGCCTTGGCACCCCAGATCAAGAGTAAGATACTAGAAGGCACTGACAGGACCCCAGCACAGCTACACAACTAACAGCTGGTGGGGGTTAGGAGGATCAGGGAACCTCCAGAGCCCAGCCAGGCTTTGGAGTAGCTGGGAATCCTTTTCTGAGGGAACAATGAGACCTATGAACAGTTTTATGCTGAAAGCATGTTCAGGGTTCAGAGCCACGGCAGGGGGCAAAACGGCGAGGAAGGAGTTATAAGTGAAAACAATAAAACAGAATGAAAAGACCACTTCCAGAGAGAAATACCAAGACTGAGTAAGTCCTGGCTATGCCCCTGGGTTGCTTTGAGATCTGTCTGGGCTTGGTTTTTCACCTGTAAAATGGAGTTAATATTATCTGCTATGAGGCTTCCCTGGTGGCTCAGTGGTTAAGAATCCACCTGCCAATGCAGGGGACACGGGTTCGATCTCTGGTCCGGGAAGATGCCACATGCCATGGAGCAACTAAGCCCGTGCGCCACAACTACTGAGCCTGTGCTCTAGAGCCACAACTACTGAGCCCACGCACCAAAACTACTGAGGGCCACACACCTAGCGCCCGTGCTCCGCAACAAGAGAAGCCACCGCAATGAGAAGCCCGCGCACCGCAACGAAGAGTAGCCCCCACTCGCCGCAACTAGAGAAAGACCGTGCATAGCAACGAAGGCCCAATGCAGTCAAAAATAAATAAATAAAATAAATAAATTTTTTTAAAAATTATTTAAAAAAATTACCTGCTATGTCTAACTCACAGAGCTGTCATAGGTCTTGAGCTATTCACTAAACAGAGGAAGAGGATGCTAAGTTGAAAATATTGTTTACAATATGCCAAGACCTGTACTAGGGACTCACATGCATTAACTCTTGATTCCCACAAGCTTATAAGGTATATTAGTCCATGTTACAGGTGAGAAAAATGAGGCCCAGGTTAATGATGTAATCATTTGTAGCAGCTGAAAGTCACCAACTATTAAGTCGAAAAGGTGGGACCTAAGGCAAGGTCTGTCTGATTCCAACGTCTATACTATTTCCATGATGGTACTCTGCTCTTTTACCGAGCAACGAATAGCCCAGAATTCTGCAGGTAAATTGAGATCACTGGAAACATCCATCCTGGGTCCTGCCATTCTTTTGCAGAGATGAGCAATCGCAGTGCTAGCACTCTGGGCCAAACTTCCTGATTCTTGACCCAGGGATATTCCTTTTGTGTCACCTTCTCTGGTACTATCATGGTCTCATTCTTCTGTGTATGCTCTTTTTTTTTTCCTGGATAATGGGGATGTTTAGCTTCTGCTCTTAATTTGATATAACACCTTGGAATTTCATGGTGCTAATTAAAGCAATAACCCAAGAAGAAAAGGCAATAAAAGGCATCACAGCTGTTGGCACTGTATTCATTCACCATGCACATTATATTTCTTTTTTTCTTCACTTGCAGGATTGACTCAAATATGGGGAATGCCTTGGGCTATTCCACATAAAATTAAGTCCCACTTACAGTGTTGTTAATGAATACAATATATGTTCTGCTACTGAATTTCAAGTGAGATTAATTTTATTCAGAGAAGGAAGTATTATTGCCAAGGGGAATCTTCAGCCCCTTGGTATCAGCAAGCCTAAGACCAAATTACAGGCCAAGAGCATCAGGGATGAGAACAGGCATTCATCCTCACCTAGTCTAACCCCTACATAAGACTCAAGGCTTCTCTCCCGCATCTCTTCTGAACAGCCCCTCCAACTGCCTGGATAACACTAGTGAGGTCGACTCAAGTTACCTCCCCTGGAGGGTGCTAGAACTAGACTAGGTCATTCAACCTAAGCACTCTCTACACACAAGTATTTATTACTTCCCAAGTAAAGAATCTGGTGTGAAAGGGATATACGGCTTTTACGTATGAGATTAAAGTCAGAGAAGAATGAACTGAACAATCCAGGTCACCTGCACCTGAAGCCATTCTGCAGTAAACTCGAGTGGGCAGATAGGCTCAAGCAGACCGGCTCAGTGACTCCAAATCTGTGATAAGAGATAAGACAGGTCACCACCAAAGGCAACTGGCACATGTGCTCCTCACTGCTGAGGAGCCAGGCACTTTTAGGCCTCTGGTCATCTCATTTCCCCATCTATGTGTGGGACAAGTTTTTCAAGAGTGAGCTGTCCCATGAGAAATCTGGAAGGGGATAAAAACTCCACAAACCTGAAAACCAGACTCTACCTACATGAGAATAAGATGAACAGTAAGAAGAGGCAACAAGAGTGTACACTCTGTGGCACAGGTCAACTGAGTGAGGGGAGCGGTAAGATCTGTCTGAATTTGAAGGAGGGTGGTACAACTGCCGGCAGCTAAAGGGACCCCAAGAAAGTACGGTTCAACCTGGGTGATGAACAGGAGGAAAGGAATTCCAGTAAGGACCGGAACAAGGACAATGACCAGCAAAAGAGGCTGAAAGTTCCTATGTGAGAGGCCTGGTAAGACTGAAGTGTGAAAGGCAGGCTGAAGCGAAGTGGTGGCAGGCCTTGAACAGCGGACAGTTTCTCTGGAGTAACCTGGTGCGAAAGTGGAGACTTAGAGAGAGCAATCCAGCCAGAGAGGGAAGAGGGGAGAGGCCAAGAAGCCACTTGGTTGGTAGGGGGGCTACCTATGGTACATCTGTCCTTGAGGATGGTTTACTATGTGGATCACTAGAAGGTAAGCTCCATGAGGGCAGACATTTTTGTCATCACATACAGCCCTGAGAATGTCACTCAATAACTATTTGTTCAATGAATGAATCAGGGATGGATGTAGCACCTGAGTCCAAGTGAGCTTGACCTGAGCTCAAGTGCAGTTGGTTAAGGGCAGGTGTTTGGGACCACAGGAGGAAAGAACTTCTAACATGAACATGTGTGGCCAAATCACTCACTGATGAAGAGCACAGAGTCATCCTTCATCAGTTTCCAGTGAGCACTCTGGGCTCCAAAACACAGGTAAGGTACAGGGCTAGCAGCATTTCCCCACTAAAAAATTATGTGAGTCCAGGTATCCCAACCTAAAACTTGGCACTGCTGTTCAAAACCAGCTTGCTGTTCTCCTGGCTCTTATTTCACATTATTCCATAATTGAAGGCATATCCATCAGGAATGAAAACCAGTACTAACCATTATGAAAGGTTTTTTTCAAAGGCCCAGCTCTCACAAATAAAGAAACCCTTTACCTTCTTGAAAAACTCCTATTTATTCTTCAAAACCCACCTCCTTGGCAAGCCTCCCCTGATGGCCCCTCCTTAGGCTGGTACTTCTGTACACACTGCACATATCTCTACTCTTCCACTGATGTCACAATCTAATTTTTAAATCTCCTCTACCAAACTATGTATTCCATGAAAAAAAGGACTCTTATTCATCTGTATTTCAGGACTCCGCATGGTGCTCAACAGACTGACCTCAACAGAACCATTTTCATTCTACTATCCTAAATTAAATTCTACTCCTAAGCTCTAAGTCATTGGTGAAGGTTCCTGCAGGTCGGAGCAAGGGTAGGAAAGGACAAGGGTACCAGTGGCAGAAGGTTAAGCGTGGGTTCTAGGGTTGGGGACAGGAGTCCTGGTCAGGGAGAGTTCCCAGCTGCAGTGGCTACTGTAGTCTCCTCTGCAGGAAGACAGTTCCAGAGTACCTAAAGGAGCTGGCCACCCACAAGATTGCTATTCCTTTTCAGTGGGTTCATGTAAAACATGCAACAATTTTAACCTATCAAATAAATGGTGTATCTTTCCCCAACCCCAAAATAAGGAAACAAAGAAAAAGAGCAGATGTCTAGGAAATGAATTTTTCCTCAGCATCTGATACCACCTTAGTAAATGGCTAATGAGTAACTCCTCCCATGGAGGCCCAGGGGCTCCCAGGAGATCACTGCTCACATAATACCTTGTGGGCTAGGTGTTAAGTGACAAGAGCATCAGAGGCTAAGTTCAAACAAAAAGATCTCCAAGGAGTTCCTGGACTAAGATTTTATCCACTGGATTTCCATAAATTTATGGTCACCATCTCTTAATTCCCTCTCAACTGTCAATCATCTGAGAAACATTTTCCTGCATGCCAACTATGAAAAAGGGACCCTGCTAGGTTCTGAGGAGCAGGGAGATGCCTCTCAGGTTACTTACAATAGAACAGTGGGGTTAAAACATAGCGCACGTAACTGTCACTAGGAAAAGGATAAAAAGAGTGAGGAATTCAGAGAAGGGAAAGATTAATCCAGATGAAAGAAGGCTTGTGGATGAGACAGAGCTTAAACTGGACCTTGAAAGACTGACAGAATCAATAAATAGAGATTAAAGAAGAGCCCCATCGGGACTTCCCTGGTGGTCCAGTGGTTGAGACTTCATCTTCCAATGCAGGGGGGTGGGTTCGATTCCTGGTCGGGGAACTGAGATCCTGCATGCCTCGGGGCCAGGGGGACAAGATGTGAAGCATAGGCAATACTGTGACAAATTCAGTAAAGACTTTAGAAGTGGTTCACATCAAAAAAAAAACAACAACAAAATTTTTTTTTTAAAAAAGAAGAACCCCATCCCCACTCCAGAGGGCAAAGACGTGAGCCCTTCTGGGTGGGAGGAATTCCACAACCAAAGGCACAGAAGAGCAAACATACAGAGAATGTTAAGGGAACAGCAAGTAGCTGTGAACAGAATCTGGGATACTTGTATCAGAAGCACGTAGATCAAACACATACTGAGCCCTGAAAAAATGATGAAAGAACTGGGGTAGGTCAGAGAGTATTCTGAATAGGTTACGGTTGAACTAGAAAACAAAGTTTTGCTGTGTTTTAGAAAAATTCACCTAATTGAATTAAAAGAGCAGATGGAAGATAAATCCAGTGGATAAAATCTTAGCCCAGGAACTCCTTGGAGATCTTTTTGTTTAAACTTAGCCTCTGATGCTCTTGTCACCTACACCTAGCCCACAAGGTATTATGTGAGCAATGTTCTCCCTGGGAGCCCCTGGGCCTCCATGAGAGGAGTTACCAAACTCTGGGAAAGAAGTAACAAATTTTTGGAATTTTAGATCAATTAATCTAATTTCCTGGTTTTACAAATGAGGGAAAAGATGCCCAAAGAGATTAAATGATAGACTCAAAGGGATACAAACTGTTAGTGTCTGAACTGAGGCAGTGGCAGTGTCAAGAGAGAATGGGAGACCTTCCTCGGAAACTACTTCTCAATCTATTTTCTTTGTCCTAATTTTTTCCTCAAGCACCTTACTGAAAAAAACCACAAGGATATCAACCTGCAAGAGCCTCCTGGTTGTTCCTTTTTACTTCTGCTCTGACCCCCAATGCTACCAGGTGGTCATTCCCAAGGCAGCAGATGTCTCAGAGGGCTTCTGATGCCCAGTCGACACACCTGGCCCCGCTTTGTACCAGCCACACCTGATCTCGCCACAGCGATCCCTCGCCTCCGTCAGCGCCAAACCTGCCAGCCTCTTCCGTCCAACTGAAGGTTCAACAAATGACTCCTAAAGTCTCTCCGGAAGCTACAACACTGTTTATCCCCTCTGGGCAGTCGTGAAAGGCAGTAACCCTTCCCCAAATGACACAGAACTGTATTTTCTGGTCCAAAGGGTCTCCAGATTAGGGTTCTTCTTCTGAGGAGACCAGACAGAATGGCACCAAGTGTCAGAGAGACTCCAATCGCAGAGGTCAGGCATTCCTGTGGCTCACGGAGCTCTCATCTTAAAACACATCCTGAGCCATCCTCAGCGTCTGTCCCAGTCCGGTCGTGGACAGACAGCGCACCGAGGGCCGGGCACAGCCTTTCCACCCAGCCGTTCAGGGAGGGCCGCCCACTGCTCCCCGCAGGGCGGTCCTGGCGTGGATTAGGGGCGGAGCAGAACGAGGTCCAGAGCGTCACACCGAGGAAGTGAGGTGCCTGGATGGGAATCTTGGATGGCCGAGGAGACAGCGGGTGCTACCAGGGGCCTGCGGGCGCGCAGGGGTGGGTTGGGGTGAGATGGGGGTGGGCCAAGCTAAGGAAAGCCAGCGGAGGCCCCTCCTGGCCTCACCCGACGTCGCGACAGGGTCTGGGGAGATGATGGACGCGCAGGGGGCGTCCCGCGCCGGCAGACGACAGAGATACGCGGGAGAAGCGGGGGCGGGGAGGAGGCGCACTCACCTTCTTCACGGCCGGCTGAAAGTGGAAGTCACCGGCCTCTTTCAGGTCCAGCCAAATCATAGGCATGCGGGGCACAGCCTCCATGGCGGCTGCCGCCCGCCGGCCACTCGGCCGCTCCGCTAGCTTTTCCAGGTACTAGCTCAGCTGTAGGCACCGCGCCGCCCCTCCACGCCGGAAGTTACTGGTCACGCTGGGATAAAAGAATGCCCCCACGGCCTGCTGGGAGATGCGGTCCCCGCCCGCACAGCCTTTCGCGCAGGCTCATCTTCCATTGCGCATGCTCAGCCTCCTCCACGGGGCGTGTGTAGAGGGCAAATCTCCAGCCCGAGGCGAAAGGGTTTCTGGGAGTAGTAGTCTACCTGCACTTAAATGCCAGACAGGGTAGTAGCTGGTTTCTTCCTCCTGGAGGAAGTAGACCTGCTGGATTGGCTCTGGCCCGAGGTGCTCCCCACTCAGGGGAAGGGCGTAAAAGAACGTAACCGTGAACTTGTAGACTTAAGTAGTGTCGAGGGCCTTGGTAGATGGGGTTAGGTGCGGTGGTAGAGATAACGTGGCGGCAGGCCACTCAGAAGAGGTGACTTAAAAACTGAGCCTTGGGCTTCCCTGGTGGTGCAGTGGTTGAGAGTCCGCCTGCCGATGCAGGGGACACTGGTTCGTGCCCCGCTCCGCGAGGATCCCATATGCCGCGGAGCGGCTGGGCCCGTGGGCCATGGCCGCTGGGCCTGCGCGTCCGTACGGGGCGGGGGAGGCCACAGCAGTGAGAGGCCCGCGTACCGCAAAAAAAACAAAAACAAAAAACTGAGCCTTGGGGTAGGGGCCTCCAGGCCAAGAGGGAGACAGGGCTAAGAAGAGAGCAAGAGGTTTCATTCCAGGTGTCGAGCTTTGGAACAGAGGAGTGACTGGTTGGAGACTGGCACACTCGGTCCAGCCTGTAAGGCCGGGCACTGCCTAAGAGACGGGCACGTCCGTTTGTGATGATGAGCAAAAAGGCGTAGATGGTGTGTAAAGCGGAAAAAAAAAAAAAAAGAGGCCTAGAGCAATGTGGGTAGATGGGGGTGGGGATGAATATATACAGCCACGGGAGTACCTTTCCGACTGTCTGGAAGCGGACCAGGGAGAAGAGAACAGCTATTGCCTCTGAAGAGGTAACCTGTAGAGAAGGGATTTTAAACTCATGTATATATTACCTAGCTTTAAAAACAAATAAGATGGAGAATGGTTTGCTAGATAGGGCAAAAGTGGAAGCAAGGAAATCTGTGAGGAGCCTTTTGTAGTCTTGCAGGAGACAAGTGATGTCAGGTTGGGGCAAAGGGAGATGAAACGTGGGCAGATTTGAGAAATGTTTTGGAAAAACGTATCAGAACTTGGGGTGAATGGATGTAGGGGGTTGAGAATATAAAGGATTATTGCCAAGTTTCTAGTTGGTATAGCTGGGTGGCTCCACGACTGTTTACCGACATGGGAAAATGCGGAGAGGAACAGGTTTGGAAGGGAAGAGCAAAGGTTCAGGGCTGTTTCTGTTAAGCTGGATATAGGTGCCCTTATGTTGTTCAAGAGAAGATGTGGAGGAGACCACGGGATGTGTGATCTGGGCTCAGAAGAGGGTGCTCATCCATAATCAAGGGCCCAGGTCCCCTTTGCAATCAAGGACCTTCATGCCAATTGGAGTTAGAGCAAAAGAAAATGCAAGTACTACACCAGTGTTCACAGCAGCATTATTTACAACAGCCAGAAGGTGGACATAAACCAAATGTCCATCAACAGATGAATGGATAAACAAAGTGTAGTATAACATACACTGAACTATTTTACTCAGCCTTAGAAAGGAAGGAAATTTGGATATTGGATTGGCCAAAAAGTTTGTTCAGGTTTTTCTGTAACATCTTAGGAAAAAACCTGGACAAACTTTTTGGCTAACCCAGTACATGCCACAACATAAATAAACCTTGAAGACATGATGCTAAGTGAAATAAGCCAGATACAAAATGGCAAATATTGTGTGATTCCACTTAAATCAGTTAACTAAAAGTAGTCAAATTTGTAAAAATAAAAAGTAGAATGGTGATTGCTCAGGGACTGGGAGGAGGAGGGAATGGGGAATTAGTATTCAGTGGGTACAGGGTTTCAGGATGGGATGATGAAAAAGTTCTGGAGATGGATGGTGGTGATGGTTGCACAACAATGTGAATGTACTTAGTGCCACTGAACTGTACACTTAAAAATGGCTAAAATGGTAAACTATATGTTAGGTATATTTTACCACAATAAAAACTTAAAAAAAAAAAAATCCAAGGGCTTCCCTGGTGGCGCAGTGGTTGAGAGTCTGCCTGCCAGTGCAGGCGACGCGGGTTCGTGCCCCGGTCCGGAAGGATCCCACGTGCCGTGGAGCAGCTTGGCTCGTGAGCCATGGCCGCTGAGCCTGCGCGTCAGGAGCCTGTGCTCCGCAGCGGGAGGGGCCGCAGCGGTGAGAGGCCCGCGTACCGCAAAAAAAAAAAAAAAAAAAAAATCCAAGACCTGGGACTTCTCTGGTGGTCCAATGGGTAAGACTCCACGCTCCCAATGCAGGGGGTCTGGGTTCGATGCCTGGTCAGGGAACTAGATCCCACATGCTGCAACTAAGAGTTCGCATTCCACAACTAAGAAGTCCACAAGCTGCAACTAAAGATCTCGCATGCCACAACAAAGATCCTGCATGCCTCAACGAAGACCTGGCACAGCCAAAAATAAATAAATACTTTAAAAAAACGCAAGACCTTACAGGTAATTTTTTTAAGGAAAAAGAAAAATTTACCAGCATCTTATCAGAGCTCGTATCTGGAGGACCTTCTTGGGGTCACCTGCTCAGAGGTGGAAGAATTGAGGATAAGACCACAAGTCTGAGGTCAAGGTGTCAGCAGGGTTAGTTTATTCTGAGGCCTTGCTTCTTGGTTTGTAGGTGGATGTCTTCTGCCCATGTCTTCACATGGTTTTCCTTCTGTGAATGTCTCTGTCCTAATCTCTTCTTATAAGGACACCAGTCATATTGGATTAGGGCCCACCCTCATGACCTCATGTTAACTTAATTACTTCTTTATAGATTCCATCTCCAAATAGTCACACTCTGAGGTACTGGGGGTTATTACTTCAACCTATGAATTCTGGGGGACACAATTCAGCCTGTAACATATGGTCTCAGTGACATGAGGGCAATTGGCATGAGAGGCATCAAAGACCAAGAGGTCCTGTGAGGGAGACTTGAATGCTGAGGCAATGGAATGAAGATGGGTCAGTGGAGGTGAGACAGCAGAAAGGATGTCTCTGGGTTAAGGGGTGCCCTCCTTATGCACATATTTCCTCACAGAGACAGGCAGAGTTGGGAGTTTGGGGAAATCTAAGACTCACTAGTACTGGGGAAGGGTAGGCCCTGTCACAAGGGGGCAGCAAACACCCCATTCAGCCAGGTCAGTTCACCCCTTTCTCAAGACAACCCTCCTATCAGAATTGGAATGACCTCAAAGACACACAGACATCCTCCCTCATTTAATCGATGTGGATCCATTTTACTGATGTGGAAACTTAGGCCTGGATTGGGGAGTGGACCACTCAACTCTCCCAGCAAGTGGATAAAGAGTCAGGCTGGGCCTGGGTCTCCTCCCTTCTAGTTCATTTATTCAATTAATATTTATTCAACACCCACTGCACCCTATGTGCTGTTCTAGGCACTGTTGAATAAAACAGGCAAAGATCTCTGCCCTCATGAGGTTACAATCTAACGAGGCGAGATAGGTATTAACACAATAAAAAATATACAGTGTATGAGATGGCAGAAACTGCTATGGTAAAAAGAAAATGTGGAGAAAGGAGGGTGGGAATATGAGAAGGAGGACTTTTACAATTTTATATCTTTTATATGGGGTGGTCACAGAAGCCTTCACTGAAAAGATACTATTTGAGCGAAGATCTGAAGGACATGAAGGAGCAAGCCAGGGGCATAGCTAGGGGAAGAGTGTTCTAGAAAGAGAGAATAGCAAATGCAAAGTCCCTGAGCCGAGACTGTCCCTGCCATGCCTGAAGGACAGCAAGGAGGCCAGAGTGGCTGAGGTAGAGTGAGTGTGGAAAAGAGCAGTAAATGGGGTCAGAGAGGTAATGGGTAGGGCTTGCCCATGGCGTAGGGTCTCTCAAAAACTGTAATGAGGATTTGGGCTTTTCCTTGGATGACCTGGGGAAACATGGGAGGATTTGGAACGGAGGAGGGATAAATCCGATGTAAGTTTAAGGGTTCTACTGGCTGCTGTATTGATCGACTGTGGAAGGGAGTGGTGACTAGGAGGAAGGGCCCTTAACTGGGGTTGTGGATTCCCAGGACACTATTCTAGGCCCTAGAGAGGGGAGGGCGGAGACAGGAAAACTGCACCACTCAGATCCTCCTTCAGGGTCTTTTTAGGGGGTCTGGAATACGGACACACACAGGAAACATGTGAGGGCGGCTTGAAAAAGAAATATACCACAGGGGCAGCATTGGGATGGGGTTTGTTGGGTTTAGGCCAGCCAAAGAGGCCAAATCACCTCTACAGAATAGGGTGGGGCGAGTGTGAACCCAGAGGGGGCAGAGAGCCTCATGGGGTTGGTAAGGAGTGAAGGCTTCCTGGGAGAAGAGAGGTGATCCATAGGCTCCGTGCAATTCCTGTCAAGTTCCCAGTGTTTTGGTGTGTGGAAGTTGACAAGCTGTTTCTCAAATTTATATGGAAAAGCAAAGGCCTAAGAAGTCTTAGAGAGGAGAAATAAAATGAGAAGCCCTGTTCCACCAGATGTGTAGTCCTGTTAGAGAGCTGAGTAGGGCTTCCCTGGTGGCACACTGGTTGAGAATCTGCCTGCCAGTGCAGGGGACACGGGTTTGAGCCCCGGTCTGGGAAGATCCCACATGCCACGGAGCAACTAAGCCTGTGCACCACAACGACTGAGCCTGCACTCTAGAGCCCACAAGCCACAACTACTGAGCCTGCACGCCACAACTACTGAAGCCTGTGCGCCTAGAGCCCATGCTCCGCAACAAAGAGAAGCCACCACAATGAGAAGCCTGTGCACTGCACGAAGAGTAGCCCCCACTCGCCACAACTAAAGCAAGCCCGCACCCAGCAATGAAGACCCAATGCTGCCAAAAATAAATAAATAAATAAATTAAAAAAAAAAAAAGAAAGCTGAGTAATTGGAACAATGTGGGTATTTGCTCAAGAACACAACATTAGACCATCAGAGAACCCAGAAACAGAACCCACGTCCACTTAATGGACTCTAGAGGTGGTATTGCAAGCCAGTGAGGAAAGGAGGTACTGGTGAATACATGATGCACGTCAGTTGGTCATCCAGAGGAAAAAAATTAAATTGGAGTCTGTTATGGGTTGAATTGTATCACCCCCTGCAAAAGCTATGTCGAAGTCCTAACCCCTAGGGATCTGTGAATGTAACCTTATTTGGAAATAGGGTCTTTGCAGATATAATCAAATTAAGATGAGATAATACTGGATTAGGGTGGGCCCTAATCCAATGACTTGTGTCCTTAACAGAAGAAATTCTGCCTCAAGATGGCCATATCAACTCATGCCTGAGTCTCTGACCTGCTGGCCTGTCCTACAAATTTTGGACTTGCCAAACCCCACAATCACCTGAGCCAATTCCTTAAAAATAACTCTGTCTGTCTATCTATGTGTCTATCTATCAACTATCCGTCTCCTATTGGTTCTGTTTTTCTGGAAAACCCTGACTGATAGAGAGCCTACTCCACACCATATTTCCAGTAGTATTTGAAGTCAGAAGAGCGGTCATCCTTGTGGGTTGGGGGAGAGAAGTGACTGGAAGTGGGGGACACAAGAAGAGCTTGTGGGATCTTATGAATATTCTGTCTGTTGATCAATCAGGATGCTAGTTATAGGAGTTTGTTTACTTACTCCTGTAAGAGGTAAATAAACCAAGCTGTACACTTCTCTTTTGCGCATTTTTTGTATATATGTTACAGTTTAATAAAAAAAAAATGTTAACATAAGAAGATAATTCCAGGTATATTAAGGACCAAAATGAGAAAGACAAATATCTCTAACTTTTAAAAAGTAGATACAGGAGAATATCTTTACAAAGTTGGCTAGGGAAGAATTTCTTAAACAAGCAATAAAAAGCACTAGCCGTGAAGGAAGATCAATAAATTAAATTTCACTCGAGTTAAGAACTTCCGTTGAGCAAAAGACATCATAAAACCAGGAACCAACTTAAGAGGCTTCACCTGCCAAATTTGAGACAATTTGAGCATCAAAATAAAATAAGGATAGTAAGAGATTATAACCCCTCAAATAAAATAACACATGAATTTACACAGGTTTAAATAAATAATTGTGGGAGAGGACAAAAGCTCTTCTCTACAGTAGAAAGCCAACTACTTGATGTACAAGGAAGGATGAGATTAGAAAACCACTGTTCAGCAGCCACGATATTAATAATTCAGGGAAAACCATCAATGGATGTAAAACTAATGGACTTGAGAAGTAAAGTAACAGGATAATTACAAAGTCCCATAGTATCTCCCCACATATACTTATTATTACAAAGGGAAAAATAGTAACTTTATATGGAGAACCTTGAAAGACCTCACCCTAACCTAAGGGATGAAATTTACTGTCACCAGCAATGGGATAAACATACATCATGTACCTCCTGGTATGATGCACTGAGGAGGACACAGCATCAAAAATTACCTTAATATAACAGTGAATAAACACTAGACAAACATAAGCTGAGGAACGGTCCAAAAATGTTATGAAACACAATGATATACTGTTCTAGACTAAAGGACACTAAAGAGACCTAACAACTGAAAATAACACGATATGGGATTTTCTTTTGCTCTAAAGGGCATTACTAACACAAATGATGAAATCTGAATAAGGTCTGTACATCAGATAATGGTAGTGTATCAGTGTTAATTGCCTGATCTTGAGATTTGTTCAGTGGTTATGATTACATGTAAGAGAATGTTCTTGTTTTTAGGAAATATACACTGAAGTATTTAGGCATAAAAAGGCATCATTCTGCCCCCACCCTTTACTCTCAAGTGTCTTGTGGGGAGGGGAGGGGAGAAGGGAGAATATGTGTGTGTGTATTTTATATATAATATAATATAACATATATATGAAAAAGAGAGAGAGAAGAGAGGAGGGAGGGAGAGAGAAAAGGAAAACAGGAGGATGGAAATGTGGTAAAATGTTAACATTTGGGGAATTTGAGTAAAGGATATGAAGGAATTCTTTGCACTACTTTTGCAACTTTTCTGTGTAAATCCAAAATCATGGCAAAAGAAAAAAGTTAAAAGAAGAACACATAAAGAAAGTAGAAAGATAAGACCAAATTGGGAGAAGATATTTGTGAGACATAAGCAAGAAAAGTTTACCATCTAGAATATGTAAAAACTCTCAAGAGTTCTCAAGAAAGACAAACAACTCAATAGAAAAATGGCAACTTGTATGGCAACTTACAGAAACAGCCAAAAATGTATGGAAAGATGTCAAACCTCATCAGTAACCAGAAAAACGCAAACCCAAACCACAATGAAAGTTCACTTTGTACTCATGGGATGAATGAGTATACATTAGTCAAAAATAAGTGTTGGTGAGGACAAGGAGCAACAGGAACTCTCATCCTCTGCAGATGGGATGTAAATTGGTGCCACCACTTTGGAAAACTGGCATTATTTAGTCGTATTGACAATGTGAACAAAGAATGTCACCTGCCAATTCAGTAAACAAAGGATGTTGTGGCCATAAAGCCATCAGCCACTGCAGCCCCCAACTGTGTGCCCTGAGGGGATTCAGGATGGAGAAAAACAGGATACTGGCTCTGGATGATTAAGGTGCCTATCAAAGGAATGATTTCAATAAGCCCAGACTTTTGCATCTTCCCATACGTAGAGAAGGCCTGAAATCATTAACTTGAGATGTGTTTTTGTGACTAGCAGTAATCCTTGGATGTCCTACTGCATGTTTTTTCCTCAGCAAAAACTCCTATGTATTCTGGCTTCTCTTTGGAACAGTCACTCAGAACTGAGAGGCTGTATCCCAGGCATAAGTCCTCAGTAAGTCTGCTGAATAAAGCATAATTCTCAACTTACAGGCTGTGCTTTTTTTTTCTTTCAGTCGGCAACTCTATACGTCCCTTGTGCCCCAGCAATTCCATTGCTGGGTGTCTGTATAGCCTGGAAAGACTCCTGCCCACAAACACCAGGAGGCACGTCCAGAAAGAAGGGTCATAGCCACCCAAACAGGAAACATGGAGCTCTCTCCCGCTGCCACCTTTCTGGGATGCGAATTCAGAATCACTGCATTACAGGTGGGGAATCTGAGGCATGGAGAGGGGAAAGAGGCTGCCCCAAACACCATGTAGCCTCTGAGGGAGGGTCAGAGGAGAGGTCTAGTGTGGCCGGGGAAGGGAGTTGGGGAGAAGAGTAAAGGGGAAGAGGGGAACTCACCTGGTCTCAGACCTGGTCAGCTGGAGGCCAGAGCCGGAAGAATTCCACTGTATCCCTTCCATCTCAGCCAACATCCATGTTCCTGGAGCTTGGGGAGGGAACTCTGGGGTGGCCCCCCCTCCCTTGGTTCAGAAAGAGGCTTCTATGGGAGCAGCAAAGCAGCAGCTTCTCCTCCCTCCAGAGGGTCCTGGGCCCTCCAGGAACCCTTGGAGCATTGCTTACTTTCTCCCTAGAAAAGGCTCCAACAAGACAGGTTCGCAAATATGAAGAAGGTTGGGGATCTCTGAGGCCCATTCACAAAACCAGCACCCCTCCCTAGCTCCCAAGTCACTTGGCCAGCAGATGGCACCAAGGCCACACGGTTGTCACAGCACGGCTGCGATCCTGGGGGTCACTGGCTGCACAAAAGCCCAGCAGATTTGAAATTATGGGTGTTTTTTGTTTGTTTTTGCTCAGAACCAGGTTTAATTCTTGGGGGAAGGGGGCCCTCCTCCCAGTGTCTGTGAGCAGAAAGAGAGCAACGGGGGATTTATTCCTCCCCTGCCTAGGACAGACACCCTCATTCAGGCCTTGATAGGGAGGGCCTCCAGAGTAAATGGTGCCTTCGAGATTTCCCAAATACACCCTCCTGATTGCATGGTGCCAGGAAGTGAGCAGTAGCACAGCCATATGTGGCAGAACTTTGAGACGTTCTGGCCTTTGCAGTGAAAGCCTGGAGGCTGGGTAGCACCCCTAGTTGGGGGTGGGGTGGTGACAAACCTGATGGGTCAGGGCTGAGGTCAGCTTGTGGGAATTTCCGAGGCCAGGGTCTTCCCAGCTGAGGTCTCTGTGTCTATGGGTAGTGTGGGCAACTTGTGTCCACACTGCTGGTTCTAGAACATCAGGTGTGTCCCCCCAGGGGACCAATGTGGCCACAGCTGCTTTCTCCACACCTTCCTTGACTTGCACAGGCCACTTGGGCAAGGGGCTAAGGGTTTCTGAAATCTGTGCGCCCCCTCCTGACCACCCCATTACAGCAAGGAGGAAGCCAAGGCCCGAGAAGGGCAGAGCTTGCCCAAGGGCCCACCAGGCTTCTTTCTTCATCATTCTCCAGACCTTGTGAAAGCTTTTTGTTCCAACCATCTTTTCAAGGAGGTGTGGGAGCCGTGGGGTCATTCAGGAGAAGTCAAGGGCCCCAGCTACCTGCGGTGCTGGCTGAGCAGGTAATTGCAGAGTGGAAATGCTCACCTGAATGGGATCTCTTGCCTCCTGCAAGACATTTCCCTGGAGTGTCCACTTCCTGCTCCTCTACCCCCCAGCCACCCTCCGGAGCTTTACCCACACCCTGCTCCAACCTCAGGCCCCAGGGTCAAGTCACAGGCTGGGTGGAGAAACCTCCTGCTGGACACCTGGAATCCTGCCCTCACCCTCTGCAGCTCAGCTCCCAGCAGCTGGGGGACCAGACACAACCCCCACGCTGAAGGCAGAGCAGCACGGTGGATGACGCTACCTTGGGCTGGAATCCCAGAACCTCCACTTACCAGCTCTGGGTCGGGGCCCAGTTCGTAACATCCCAGTGCCTGAGTCTCCTCATCTGCAAAATCAGGTCTCCCGGTCAGAGCCTGGAGGGGTAAGAGCTCTGTGCTTCCTAATGGTCTCAGCTGCATCTCTGAGCCATCACCGCCCTAGATAAAAGCCACCACACCTGAGCTTCCTCCACCCACATTAGCTTTAATCCTCTCACCACTCTTACAAGGTAAGAATTGTTATCTCCGATTTACAGATGAGGCACACAGAATCCCACAGAGACTGGCCAAGAACCAGTGGGGAGGTGGCAGCGGTGGGATTTGAACCCAGGTCTGTGGAGCCCTGAAGCTGAGGCAGGGCTCACAGAGCTGTATTCTGAAGATGCTCTGGGTCAATTATCAAGCACAAGTTATTGAAGGATTTTTATGTGGCTATAACAGAGTTTGACCTTTGGAACTCATACTCTGTAAGGTCCACTGGTCAAAAAAAAAAAAAAAAATCCCACCAGAGCCCCCAACCCAAGTTCCCGGGCCTGATTACTGCCATCCAACCTCAAACCTTTGGACATGTCATAGAGTCTTATGGTTTGATGAGATTATAAAGGCTACATAGTCTGTCCCCACACCTCTTTATTGGATGCCTGAACCCTACATTTGTTGCGACATCATGTTGCAAGTAACAGAAAAGCCCAATCAAACTAGCTTAAATAGTAACATCCGGAGGCCCTCCACCTTCAGGCAAGGTGTGACCCAGAAGCTCAGTGATGTCATAAGGATCTGTTTTTCTCTCTTTCCTCTCTGCCTTCTGTGGTGCTGATCTCATTCTAAGGGGCCCACCTCACATCCTAAGATGTTTTCTTTGTCACATCTAGCCATGCTTCCTTGTTTACTTCCAGGAGGAAAGAAAGTGCCTAGTATTCCCACCAAAAGTTCTGAGATGTATTCCAAGTGGACCAGCTTAATCAATCACCAGTGGTGGTGGAGAGATGGAAGGCATTGCTTGACTTAGACCAAGTCGAGTTTTCCTCTCCCAGAGCCATGCAGATCCTCAAAGGGGAATTGGGGCCTCATTGGAAGGGAGAAGGGGTAGGGCAAATGGATGCTGGAGAAGCCAGGCATCAAATGGCCCCTATAGTCTCCTACAATTTCCCTGCCAAGTGATCTTCTAGACTCCCAGGCCACCTCTGCCATGCGGGACTCCAGCTATTATCAAGAGACCTTTCTTGGTTTTGTTTGTTTGTTTTGTTTTGAGAACTTTCTTGTTGACATGCCTCCCCCTGGGAAGAACAATCTGGTCCTCGTGGCAGCCTTTCGGAGACAGAGCAGGGAATCAAGGTCTCCTTGTCAGTCCTCTCCTCCAGGGAAAGCTTCCCAGTTTCCCATCATTCTACACAGGACTCAGCTGTGTAACTTGGACACACTTCCTAACTTTTCCAGGCCTCATTTTCCTCATCTATCAATGCTGGGGACAAGCTGAGCTTCTCAAACTGATGGGGAGCCATGTGGTGGGGGTCTACAAAGTCCCTGAAAAACTACTTTACACATCTAAAGCCTTGATTTTACTGGAGGCTTTTTTTCCTCCGATGGAAATCTAAAACATTCTAATGTTAAAACAGTGTGTACAACTCAACAATATAAGGACAAATAACCCAATTAAAAATTGTACAAAGGACTTGAATAGACATTTCTCCAAAGAATATATACAAATGGACAATAAGCACAACATCACTAGCTCTTAGGGAAATACAAGTCAAAACCACAATGAAATATCACTTCATACCCACTAGGATGGCTATAATAAAAAAGAGAGACAATAAAAATCATTAAGATGTGGAATACCACAGATTGCTGGTGGGAATGTAAAATGGTACAGGCTCTTTGGAAAATACCTCGGCAATTCCTCACAAAATTTAAAACACAGAGTTACCATATGACCCAGAAATTCCATTCCTAGGTATAAGCCCAAGGTAACTGAAAATATATGTCCACATAAAAACCTGTATGTGAACAGTCATAGTGGTATGATTCGTAATAGCAAAAACGTGAAAACGACCAAAATGTCTATCAACTGATGAATGGATAAACAAATGTGATATATCCATATGATGAAATCTTATTCAGTCATAAAAAGGAATTAATCCATAACATGGATGAACATGAAAACATCATGCTAAGTGAACAAAGCCAGACACCAAAGACCACATATTGTATGATTCCATTTATATGAATAGCCAGAATAGCAGACCCATAAAGACAGAAAGTAGATTATTGGTTGCCAGGGGCAAAGGGGAGGGGAAAATGGGGAGTGACTGCTAATTGGCACAAGGTATATTTTTGGGATGATGAAAATGTTGCGAATTGTACACTTTGAAAGGGTAAATTTTATGATATGTGAATTTTATCTCAATAAAAAGAGTTCCATTGAACTTAAAAAAGTAGTTGCAGATGTGGAATAAAATGTAGATTCCATGTGGGTATTTAAAAAATATTTTTGCTGTTTTTGTAAAACAAAGTTGTTTATTGTAATTTTTTTTCAAATAATAAAGAAAAGTTGAAAGAAGGAATCAAAATCCTTTGCCAGCTCCATACAGAGAAAAACTGTATGGATATTTATTCATTATATTCATTATTAATATTTTAGTGAACATCTTTTCAGGCACCTTGCTAGTGATACTGTTATGGATATTGATCAGTGTACAATCTTCTGTACAAGGAATCCAACCTTACACTGCAGGCTGCATTGGTGAGTTTTCTTTGGTCTGTGCAAGCCCTCTCTCTGCTTTTTTTTTTTTTCCCCCCAATCTCATTTCCTGCCCTCTCAACCATCATTCATTCTTACCTGTGCCTTGTGGGTGTTATAAGATGTTTATCAATTTGAAGGATGTATTCTGATGTATTCTCCATACATATAAATGGAGAGAGAGAGAGAGGGAGGGAGAGTTGTTACACATCTCACTCTGTTCCTTTCCTTTGTAACCAAGCACCATGTGTTTAAGATTGATCCATCTGGTTGCTCTGTCACAGGACTTCTCAACCTCAGCACTAGTGACATTTGGGGCTGGACCATTCTTCCTTGCTGGGGCTGTCCTGTGCATTGTAGGGTGATTAGCAGCATCCAGTGGCCTTTATCCACTAGATGTCAGTTGTGCCCTCTTTCCAGTTGTGACAATCAAAACTGTCTCCAGACATTGACAATTGTCCTGGGGGGGGGGTCAAGGGGCAAAGTCACCCCAGTGGAGAACCACTGCTTAACTGCTGCATAGAATTCTACAGTGAGCACCCACCATCCTTCCTTATTCACACTTCCTGTGATGGACACAAGACCTGCTGCAGCAGAACCCTCATTCTTCAGCTAAGAACCTGTGATGAACATAATGACCCACCAATAACTGGACCTGTATTCCAATAAGTAGTAGCAGTATTCCATAGGTGGACATATCACAACTGCTCTAATAATCTGCTCTTGAAGCACATTTATTTATTTATATTTTTTCCTGGGTTGGGTCTTTGTTGCTGCGTGCGGGCTTTCTCTAGTTGCAGAGGGCAGGGGCTACTCTGTTGCGGTGCGCAGGCTTCTCACTGCGGTGGTTTCTCTTGTTGCGAAGCACGGGCTCTAGGCGTGCGGGCTTCAGTAGTTGTGGCTCGTGGGCTCTAGAGCGCAGGTTCAGTAGTTGTGGCGCATAGGCTTAGTTGCTTCGCAGCACGTGGAATCTTCCCGGACCAGGGCTCAAACCCGTGTCCCCTGCACTGGCAGGCAGATTCTTAACCACTGTGCCACCAGGAAATCCCTTGAAGCACGTTTAGATTTTTTCTAAGTCTTCACCATTATATGCCATGGCTGCATGGATTTTATGATGAGACTTGGGCCTTTGAAGACCTGTTGGGCCTGCGGAGGACTGTTCTGTGCTCTGCCTTCTCTCCTCACTTCTGGCTCTGACCTTCTCAGCTCTACCCTTAGCTTTTGGGGGAAGTCATGATCTGCTCTGTGCCTTGGTTTCCCCACTGGTGGACTTCAGTGGAAACACCCGGTAGTTGCTCTCCTCCTCCCCAGTTTCTGAGTCTCCTGCAGAACAGGAGCCCCGCAGCCAAGGAAGGGCTGGGAAGTTAACATGCAGACCCCAGTAACTGAGGGAGTCAAGGAAAATGGGAGCCCTCAGAGGAAGGGGAGGCCCTTGCTCTTCCTCTTGTGAGCTGCTGCCTGGGGTTGGCCGTGTCAGCAGCCAGGAATCCCTGCCCTGATCCTGTTGGGGACAGCCTCCCTGCTTTGCCTGCAGGGAATGGCCTGGGGCAAGTGGACAGCGAGGCTTTCCCTGGAGAAGTTGCTGACGTCACATCCATGAGGGGCTGTGAGCCATGCATTGCCAGATCTCATGATTTTTTCAAAGTCAGGCATCCAGAGTTTTAAGGGTTGACAATCAGTATTTTAAAACGTATGTAACATGGTAGGTGTCAGCTTGAGTACAGCCTCAGATTGGACTGTCTCCTTGTGCTCTCAGCTGAGGAACTGTCACATAGAGAGTTCATGGATCCCAGACAGTTGTTTCAGAATCAAACCAGAACAGCCAGGCAGAGACGGCACCGAGTCCTGGACTATCAGAGGTGGCCTCCTCGTGGCACAGGTAGGGACACTGAGGCCAGAGTGAAGGGACTTGCCCAGCATCACACATGTCTCCTGCCCCCAGCTCAGGGCTGCCTCACTCCTAGGCCCTGGACTATAACCCAATCCTACTTGCCTCTTAGTCACGGGTATTTTGGAACATTGGCTAATACTGGGTGCCTAGCGAAGGAAAGGAGAGGCCCCTTTCAGGAAGGCCCCAGCCCTGCATGTCGTCAGCAGCCCTTGGGCAAGGCTGCCCGAGTAGCACCTAAAAGGGGCTGCAAGTGGCAGTGGATCAAAGAAGGGACAATGGCAGGGGCTTGGAGGGCACTGGTGCTGGTGGCAGGCTTGGCAGCAATGGCCTGTGTGGCCCAGCGCAGTCTGAGCTATGAAGAGATAGTCACCCAGGCCCTGTGGTTCTTCAACCAGGGGCGACAAGGACAGCGACTCTTTGGCCTGCTGGAAGCCATCCCACCACTGCCTAGCTTGGTGAGTGTTGGGGGCTCAGGCCCAGGAAGCGGGTAACACTCTGCCTCATAGCAGCCTGTGAGGACAGCAGGCAGGAGAGAATGCCTCGCACAGGCACAAAGTGCTTGGTTGACATTAGCTGCTGTTCTTATTATTATAATGTTTCTCCCCTCAGAAGATAAGACAAAGACCGTAATTTCTCTCGGGCCTGACAGCTGGCTAGCTGGTCAATTCCGGGCTTTGCCCAAGGATGAAATGCGGGTTCTGGGAGTCCAGCCTGCACTCAGGCCCTGGGTTTGTAGGAGCAAGCAGGGCTGTTTCAAAGGACAGACAGGAGCTGGACTGGTCTCACCAGCGACTCATCAGGGCCTTCCAGTGTCCCCTTCCCACCCCATTATCTCTCTCCTGGCAGCTGAGCATGCGAGGCAAGTATTCTAGTTCCTTTGTCACAGAAGAGGAAACTGAGGGGCAAAGATGGGAAGTGACCCCTCAAGGTGGTACAGCCATGAGGTGTTAGCCTCGGCTAGTTTCCAGAAGCCCTGCACACCTTAAATCTCTGCTCAGGCCACTTGAAGAGGCTGCCTCCTTTAGGTGGAAAGTGCAGACCTCGGCTAAGCCCCTTCCAACTTGGAACTGTGAACTCTCTCCTCCTTGCCTTTGTTCCCTCCTCTGTAAAAGGGAGATAGATGATCATGAGTCTTCTCTTGATTTTTCAGAACTCCAACACCATGATCCCGCTCAACTTCAGGATTAAAGAGACGGTGTGCTTTTTGCTCTGGCACCGCCGACAGCCCCGAGAATGTCCCTTCAGGCCGGGTGGGGCGAGTCTCCCATCCCCTGGCTCCCTGCCCCCATGAGCAAGAGAAGGACCTCCCCTCTCTCCCTTCTCCCGGAGGCTGCATTTGCTTCCACCCTCCTCACCTCGCCCAGGTGAGGTTTGATTATGGAAGGCATTTAAAAAATAATAATAAATTTACTTATTTATGTTTGGCTGCGATGGGTCTTCGTCGGTGTGTGCTGGCTTGCGGGGGCTACTCTTCGCCGCAGTGCGCGGGCTTCTCATTGCAGTGGCTTCTCTTGTGGCGGAGCGTGGGCTCTAGGCGCGCGGGCTTCAGTAGTTGTGGCACATGCGCTTAGTTGCTCCGCGGCATGTGGGATCTTCCTGGACCAGGGCTCGAACCTTTGTCCCCTGCATTGGCAGGCGGATTCTTAACCACTGCGCCACCAGGGAAGCCCAGTAGCCATTTTTAAAATTGGGTTTTTCCTTACTGGTTTTTCTTACTACATGTAAATTATCAATTCTTATTAGGAAAACAATACATGCTAAAGAAATGACTAAATATTAAGAGAAAGAAGAAGGGGACCGTAATGCACCTAGTGATAACTGTTTTTCTAAAATTAGGAAAATAATATTTTATTATAGCAAATTAACAAAATGTGGAGAAGCAAACTAAAAACAAACAAACAAAAACCCCCTGCAACCCCACTACCCAGGAGGAGACAACATTAACCATTGGTGAATCATCTTCTGTATCTTTTTTATGTACACACGAGTGTTTTAAACAAATATAGCTTCCTCTGAGGCTAATTCTGGAGGCCTTTTCCCATTTAATATAACTTGCATGAAAGTCCTTAATTTTACTGGGTGTTCACGGAGCCCGCCCGGGTCCCCCCAGCGTTCGCCGCTCCCGCCTGGCTCTGGGGGGAGGATTAGGGAGGGCGCCGGCTTCGGGAGCCTGGGTACCTGGGCAAGAACGTCGGCCACCGTACTCCTGTGCTCACTGACCCACAGGAAGAGCGGAACTGCACGGGCATCTTCTTCATGCTGCAGCACATCCTTCCGTCCCTCAACCGTCCCTCAACTGCCCTGGGGACCCGGACCACGAGCGCGAGCTCAAGCCGGAGATGAGCCCCTGCGCCCGCGCTGGCCCCAGTCTGTTTCCGTCGCGGGCGGCGCTCTGCCCGGTGACCGCCGATGACCGAGGGGCCCTCACCCGGGCCACTGACTTCGGCGCATGGGGCCTCAGTTTCCTCCTCTGGAAACCGGGCCGATCGAGCCCTTCTAAACGCAAGTCGTCGGGAGGGGAAAGGCTTGTGGAGTGTGAGGCGCGGTTGGACGTTGATGACTGCTAGTCGTTTGGCAGGAGGGGTGGGGAGGAGAGACTGGTGGCCGAGGCTAAGGGGCATCCTGGGGGTGAGAGGGAGCTCAGACTTCGCAGGACACTGGCTCTGCTCTGGGCCCTGAGCTCTGGGAACCCTCCTCCACATCCCACATTTGGAAAAACTGAAGCCGGAGGTGCAACCTCCTAGCAAGTGAGTGGAATAGCCAGAGAGGAAGTGAGCGGCAGAGTTCAGGCCTTCCCAGGCCCTCTGGGCTCCGAGTGGAAGGGCCTCACTGGGGACCACCTCCAGCCCCATCACCAACATCACTGCCGGTGCCTCACACTCATCCCCACCTGGAGAGAGGGGCCACAGGCAGGACAGGAAAGGGGGCCAATCAATGAGGGTGATCACGTCTGCATCACTTCTGTAGGTCCACCGGGTGAGGCGTTCTGCTGGGTCCCCTGGAGTGGACACTCCAGGAACTGAGAGCTCCCAACTGCCACATGCAGTCAGGGACCTGTACGAGAAAGCCAAGCACGACATCATCACCAACATACTGAGGAATTTCTAGGGCTGCGGAAGGTAAGGGATGCCCTGCAACCCCACCACAACCTCTTATTCCCACCCATTCTCTTCCTCTGCTGCCCTCAGCACTCCCTTTCCTGCAGTCTGAGCCCACCCATACTCCTCTGCATTTGCATACCTGCTTCCCTCTGTCTGGAATTCCTGCCCATCCTGTGTCTGTAAACCCTGCTCATCTTTTAAGGCACAGCTCCAAAGTCACCTCCTCCAGGAAGCCTCTCTGCTCTTCCCTGGGCAGCAGAAGTGTCCTTCCCTCATCTGTGTATTCATGATCCCCAAACCATTACCTGGCATTACCTGCTGTGTCCCAGGCTCCGTAGCACTGTATTTACTCACAGCTGAGCCCTCCTCAGCCAGCTGCAGGTGGCTGGGGAATGACTATCTCAGCAAAGTGCTCCTGAATCCTGGGAGGGCAGTTCCTTCTGTGCAGGACCCTGAGCACCCCTGTTCCCTGCCCAGTCACTGTGACAACTAAATGTCCCTTCATATATCCAGGTACCTCCAAGAGGGGGTCAGGCCACTCTCTGGTGAGAGCCACAGGAGAGAAACTCAATAAAACGTTTCTAAAATAAATGATTACATGAATGTGAATGAATAAGGTGTTAGAGCTGGGCCAGCTGGACTTGGGGTGAGGAGACAAATGAGACAGGTCCTGAGGGTGATTCCACTGTGCATCATGGGAACACAGACTCCCTGAGGTCAGGGCAGGGACAATGAAGAGAAACATGGGTTGGGGGGGCATCCAAGGGCTTCCCTGGAAGCTCAAGAAGGCAGAGTAATCTGCCCCCAGCCTCCTCAACCACCTTTCATTCCTTTATGCTTCCTTCTTATCTAAGCTCCAGCCAGAACCTCTCCCTGAACCCCAGACTCGCATTTCAGATTGCCTCCTGGATGCCTCCCCATGGATGTCCAAGGTGTGCCACACAGTATCTTCCCTCCAAACCACCCTTCCTACAGCCCACCCCAGCCCAGCTGATGGCAGCCTCCATCCAAGCACCTGAGCATCTGGCTCTCTGCTGTCTTTCACAGCCACATCTGGTCCACCAGCAAACCTTGGCCTTGGTTCCTGATACATCCAGCCCTGAGAACACTGTAGTTGCTCAGTAAATACTTGTTGAATGGATGAATGCCCTTGTCTTCTCACTAGTAGGCTCCTTTTTCAAGTCTTTGCTACAGAAATATCTGTGGGAAACTCTCATTTGAGGGGCCATGGTGTAGAGCCCCTTGGGGAAATGGGTTTTTTAGTAATTATCCCAGGAAAGCCAAGGACTCCTCTCCATTAATAATAATAGCCACGATTTATGAACGCCACTTCCCATACAGTGAATGGGAATACACTTCTCAGGTCTCAGAAATGCGTTGCAAGCTGCATGCATCACCTGCAACTTTCAGTGAGAAAACTAAGCCTCAAGGAAATTGGTTAACTTGCCCATAGTCCACACTCCAACTCCCTTGCCACCTAAATCTCAGGTAGCCCCACTGGTGGGCAAGAGGGGGTGGGGGATGCTGCAGGGAGCAACCCTGGGGTGGGAAATGGGCAGGTTTGGGCTGAGCAGGATAAACTAGACCCCAGACCCTCTCCCCATGGTGGGACAATGATGTTCAGCTGGAGAAGGTCACTTCTAGCTCCTGCAGAGAGCAGAAGGCACCAGCACCGCAGGCACACCACCACATATCACTCCCTTGCCTGACCCCCACCCCGAAAGAGTACTTCCAGGTCTCATCCAGGTCTTCTAGGGGGTTCTGGACACTAACGGGCTGAGCAACTTCTCCCAGGAAGCTCAAGGCTCATCTATGGTGGTCAATGCCACATTACACAAGGCCCATCATGCTGTACCCCGCAAGAGGGCAGGCCTGTAGGATCAGCCACGAGGCTCTGCTGGAGCCACTCTGCTGTATTCTCATAGCCCAGACACTATCAGGCCCTGAGATGGTATCAAGGCTCCAAATACAGCTCAGGCTCTTGGCCTTGGCAGCTTCTGAAAGTCTTCAGGCCCACAGAAGCAAGACCAGAAGGAAAAATTCACTGGGGGTTGGGGGTGGGAACACAATGGGTGAACAGACCTCTAGGACAACATCTAAATGGCTGCAGGAATCAAATTTCATTCCTCATACATACAGGTACAATGTGAGTTTTATTTTTAAAAGAAAAAATGACTTCACAGTCATTTTACGGCCCATTTTACAACCAGCTTATTCTCATTTAACCTGTCAGCTAACACACTTCAGTCACTATTGACTCACCCCATGTTTTTTTCTGTGTAATTCTCCATTGGGTGGTTAGACCTCCATTTATTTAAGTCACTCCTGCTGTCGAAGTTGTTTCCATTTTGTTTTGCTTTGAAATTGCTGTAAACAATGCTGAGATGAAAATAAGTTCCTAGAATGGAAATGACGTCAAAGTGTATGACCATATTAAGAATTTAGGGGCTTCCCTGGTGGCACAGTGGTTAAGAATCCGCCTGCCAATGCAGGGGACACAGGTTCAAGCCCTGGTCCGGGAAGATCCCACATGCCGCAGAGCAACTAAGCCCGTGCGCCACAACTACTGAGCCTGCGCCATAGAGCCCGTGTGCCACAACTACTGAGCCCGTGTGCCACAACTACTGAAGCCCGTGAGCCTAGAGCCCGTGCTCCGCAACAAGAGAAGCCACTGCAATGAGAAGCCCACGCAGTGCAACGAAGAGTAGTCCCCACTCACCACAACTAGAGAAAGCCCGTGTGCAGCAATGAAGACCCAAGTCAGCCAAAAATAAATAAATAAATTAATTTAAAAAAAAGAATTTATCGTATTGCTAAATTACTATCTAGAATTATAGACAGTAGTTTAGCAATATTGTTCTTCTGGCAGTTTTATTTATGCTGCTGGGAAATAGGCAATTGCCTGAGTACCGAATAGGGGAATGGTTAAGTAATTTGTATTATATTCACTGAATACTGTACAGGCTTTAAGATAATTTGAAGACAATGTTATATCAAAGAAAATGCTTGTGTTAGACTGCAGAAAGCCTGATTAAAGAAAACAGGGACAGAAGGCAAAAAGAGCTCAAGTTACATGAAAGGGGATAGCCATGGATACAGGAGTGACAGAATTTAAGAGCTTATGACTACTTACAACCACAGAGAATATGAAAACCTGGAGGAAATGAATGCTTTCTTAGCTAAACATGATTTATCAACATTGACTCAGGACCTGAAGGGGAATATGTGAAAAGGTCCATTTTCTCAGAAGAGTCTGGAGAGGTGATTAGAGTTCCAGGACCAGATGGTCCACAGCTGAGATTTATCTAGTCTTTAGAGTGGGGCTTCTCAATGTACACAACAGTCATCTGAGGAGTCTCATTAAACTATAGACTCCAGCCCAGTAGGCCTGGGGTGGGCCCCAGGAATCTGTTTTTGTAACTACCTTCCAGGTGATGCTGACACTGCTGATCCATGAACCACACTTGGAACAGGGAGGCTTTAAAGGACATATAATTCCAAAGTTATTTAAACTTTGTTAATAGTTTATATAAAATACACATAAAATTATATATCTATGTATAAATTATTTAATTCAAAATCAAGGAAAAAGATGGAAAGCTCCTCAATTCATTTTCTTTGTCTCAGAATACACTTAATAGTAGAACCTAAAGATAGTATAGGGGGTGTGGCCAAGATGGTAGCTTAGGAAGACCCGGAGCTCACATCCTCCCACAGGTGCACCAAAACTACAACCATTTATAGAACAGCTATCTATGAGAATGTCCTGAAGACCAGCAGAAAATATTTTCCACAACTAAAGATACAAAGAAGGAACCACAATGAGATGGGGAGGAGGGGTGGAGATGTGATATAAGTCAAGACCCACACCCTCGGATAGGCAACAAACAAACAGGAGGATAATCACCACTGCAAAGTTTCTCCCCAAGAAGCAAGGGGTCTAAGCCCCACATCAGGCTCCTGAGCCTATGGCTCTTGCACCAGAAAGGTGAGCCCCCAAAACATCTGGCTTTGAAGGCCAGCAGGGCTTGCATTCAGAAGAGCTGGGGGGCTGTAGGAAACAGACTGTTCTTAAAGGGCACGTGCAAAATCTCACATGATCCAGTGTAGAGGCAGTAATTTGAAAGGAGCCTGAGTCAGACCTACTTGCTACTTGCTCATCTTTTTTTTTTTTTGGCCATGCCACGCAGCTTGTGGGGATCTTAGTTCCCCAACCAGGGATCGAACCCAGGCCCTCGGCAGTGAAAGCATGAAATCCTAACCACTGGACCACCAGGGAATTCCCACTTGCTTATCTTAGAAAGTCTCCTGGAGAGGCAGGAGGCAACTGGGACTCCCCCTGGGGACATAGATGCTGGCTGGAACCATTTTTGGGAGCTCATTCTACCATGAGAACACTGGTGCTGGCAAGTACCATTTTGGAGTCCTCCCTCTAGTTTACTAGTGCCAGGGCTAACCTGCCCACCAGTAGGCTGGGACCAGCCCCAGGTTCCCCCGGGGTTTGCAGCCAGCCACACTAGGACCCGGCCTTGTCCACCAAAGATTGGTAGCCACCACACAAGGCAAGGTCTGGCAGCCAGTGGGGGTAGGGGCCAGCCTGACCTACCAGCACACCCACAGTAGTCAGGTCAACCACAACAGAACAGCCCACATAGGGGGCATCCCTAGAGTATACAGATCTGGTGACCAAAGGGAAGTGTGTTGCTGGGCCCCTTAGGATGTCTCCTACACAAGGCCACTTCTTCAAGATCAAAAACAAAACCAACCTACCTAATACACAGAAATAAATACAAAGAATTAGGCAAGATTAGGAGACAGAGGAATATATTCCAAATGAAGGAACAAGACAAAACACTAGAAGAAAAACACAGTGAAGAAGAGTTCAAGGTAATGATCATAAAGATGCAGAATGTACTCGGGAGAAGAATGGATGAACACAGTGAGAAGTTTAGTAAAGAATTAGAAAATATAGAGAAGAACCGAACAGAGCTGAAGAATATAATAAGTGAAATAAAAAATACACTAGAAGGAATCAACAGTAAATTAGATGTTACAGAGGAATGAATCAGTTAACTGGAAGACAGAGTAGTGGAAATCACCCAAGCCAAACAGAAAAAAGAAAAAAAGATTTAAAAAAATGAGGATAGTTTAAGAGACTTCTGGGACAACATCAAGCATACTAACATTTGCATTACAGGGGTCCTGGAAAGAGAAAAGAGAAAGGGGCAGAGAACTTATTTGAAGAAATAATAGCTGAAAACTTTCCTAACCTGGGGAAAAAAAAAAGACATCCAAGTCAAAGAAGCACAGAGAGTCCCAAACAAGATGAACCCAAAGAGGTGCACACCAAGCACATTATAATAAAAATTGCAAAAATTGAAGATAGAGAATCTTAAAAGCAGCAAGGGAAAAGCAACTAGTTACCTACAAGGGAACTCCCGTATGACTATGAGCTGACATTTCAGCAGAAACTTTGCAGGCCAGAGGTAGTGGCATGATATATTCAAAGCAATGAAAGGAAAAAAACCTACAACCACTCTACTCAACAAGGCTATCATTCACATTTGAGAGATACAGAGTTTTACAGAGAAGCAAAAGCCAAAAGAATTCAGCACCACTAAACAGGCTTTACAAGAAATGTTAAAAGGACTTTGCTAAATGGAAAAGACCACAGCTAGAAATATGAAAATTAGGAAAGGAAAAATCTTATTGGTAAAGGCAAACATACAGTAAAGGTAGTAGATCAACCACTCATAAAGCTAGTAGGAAGCTTGAAAGACAAAAGTAGTAAAATCATCTATATGTGCAATGAACAGTTAAGGGATACACAAAAATATGTAAAATATGATGTCAAAAAACATTGATGTGTGGGGTGGGTAGTAAAAATTGCATTTTTAGGTTGTTAGAATGCATTTGAACTTAAGAGATCATCAACTTAAAACAGCTATATATATATAAAATAACCACATATAAAATAACCACATATATAAAATAACCATATATATGTCATTACATATGAACCTCATGGTAACCACAAACCAAAATTTGTAATAAATACGCACATACAAAAAGAGAAAGGAATCCAAACATAACACTAAAGACAGTCATCTAATCACAAGGGAAAAGAGCAAAAGAAAAAGAAAGGAAACAAAAAGAACTACAAAAACAACCAGAAAACAATGAACAAATTGCAGTAAGTACATGCCTATCGATAATTACTTTATATGGCATATATGGCCTTCAATAAATAAATGCAAATGATGTAATTGAAAAAAAATTACTATAAATGTGAATGGACTAAGTGCTCCAATCAAAAGACAAAGAGTGGCTGAATGGATACCAAAACAAGACCCATATATATGCTGCCTACAAGAGACTCATTTCAGATTTAAAGACACACATAAACTGAAATTTAGAGGACAGAAAAAGGTATTTTATGCAAATGAAAATCAAAAGAAAGCCTGGGTAGCAATACTTATATCAGACAAAATAGACTTTAACAAGACCCATATATATGCTGCCTACAAGAGACTCATTTCAGATTTAAAGACACACATAAACTGAAATTTAGAGGACAGAAAAAGGTATTTTGTGCAAATGGAAATCAAAAGAAAGCCTGGGTAGCAATACTTATATCAGACAAAATAGACTTTAAAACAAAGACTGTAACAAGAGATAAAGGATATTATATAATGATAAAGAAATTGATCCAACAAGAAGATATAACAATTATAAATATATATGCACCCAATCAAGGAGCACCTAAATACATAAAGCAAATATTAACATAAAGGGTGAAATTGACATTAATACAATAATAGTAGGGAACTTTAATACTCCATTTACATCAATGGACAGATCATCCAGATGGGAAATCAATAAGGAAATACTGGCCTTAAATGACACAATAGATCAGGTGAAATTGATAGACATATATAGAATATTCCACCAAAAGCAGCAGAATACACATTCTTTTCAAGTGCACATGGAACACTCTCCAGGACAGATCACATGCAAGGCAACAAAACAAGTCTAAATAAATTTAAAATCATACCAAGCATCTTTCCCAATCACAACAGTATGAGACTAGAAATAACTACAAGAAAAAAACTGCAAAAAACCACAAAAACGTGGAGGCTAACGAATATGCTATTAAACAACCAATGCGTCACTGAAGAAATCAAAGTGGAAATTAAAAAAAGTACCTGGAGACAAATGAAAATGGAAACACATGATCTACAATCTATGGGATGCAGCAAAAGAGGTTCTAAGAGGGAAGTTTAATAGCAATACAAGCCTACTTCAGGAAACAAGAAAAACCTCAAATAAACAATCTAACCTTACACCTAAAGGAACTATAAAAAGAAGAACAAACAAAACCCCAAGTCAGTAGAAGGA